ATTTCAAGGTCCTTGTGTTTTTTGAAGATCTTCAAAGATACATTGCTGTCTGCTGGGTCTGACATATCGATAAGGAGACACTTTTTGTCTTTACAGTCTCTGATCATAATGTCATGGCGATTAACATTGATTGTTCTGTCTGTGTGTATTGTTAAGTCCCATAAAATTGTTGCAGGTCGTATCGCCATAACCGGGTCTGGATGGTAGTCATACCAATTTCTTGCAGTTTCCTTTCCGTAAGTGTTGCACATATTCCAGTGCATATATTGGCCCACTTGTCATGCCGTGTTTTATATTCAGTAGGACCCTATACTGCGAAATCTGATACAAGATGGTCAATTGTTTCTGAATATTCAGCACAGAATCTACATTTTGGACTAACACAGTTTTTCATTATATGTACTTGGTAATTTCTAGTTAGCAAGCATTGGTCCTGTGCTGCAAGAATAAAGACTTCAGTATCAGCTCTTAACCCTGCACTACGTAGCAACTGATGGGTTTATCTACGTCAGCTTGTTTGGTACGGGCAGAGTATTGACCGTGAAGCAGTTTATCTTACCATCGTTTCTGTATCTGATCGGTTGCATTTGCATTTGCTTTCTTTTTTTAAGTATTGCAGCTTCAATCGGTGTATTAGGCTGTACTTGTATTCCTTCACCCATTTGAAACTCTATTTTGAACTTGGCTTCCTTTATTACTGAATAAAGCCGCTTTCTACTGTCATACCGTTATTATTTTTATTATTTTCTTTGATTTCTGATGTGTACTCATTTCTTTCCGGGTCCCGACCAGAGATCTAAGGTCAGAAATGGCATCATGACATTTTCATTGAACAATTATATATATATATATATATATATATATATATATATATATTTACTTTAATATATATATATATATATATATATATATATATATATATATATATATATATATATATATACATAGATAAAGCCCTACGTAAGGTGTGGACCGTACTCGTAAAAACAAATGTTTGTATTTCTTTAAGGCATGGGCTTCCAGGAATCCCTTCAGTGAGTCTATTGAAATCTTTTCCAGTCGATCCGAGTGCTCCAGCTACAACTGGAATTGTTGATGTTCTCACGTGCCACATTTTTGAGATTTCGATTTCAAGGTCATTGTATTTTGGTAGCTTTTTAAAGATCTTCTAAGATACATTGAAGTCTGTAGTTACTGCCATATCAATAAAAAGGCAATTTTTATTATCTCTTTACTTTGTATTCTACTCATTAATTACTCATTTACTTTAATCAATTTACTCATTACTTTACATTCTACGTCATTAATAATGGCCGCTACGAGCGCGTTGTGTATTTTAACACACCGTTGAAAATTTCAGTTGCACTTCTAAAAAGAAATCGCAAGAGACTGATACGTATATAAAAACTGTCCAGTCCGGTTGCAAAAGCTGCTGGTGGCGCCAGGGGTAGCAGTACCGCCTTAGTCACCGAAACTGCGTTATCTCCCCTGGTTGGCGGCTGACAAGACCAGGGTATCGCACGTGCTTTCACTTATTATAAAGAGGATTAATACTGTAGTACATATATATTTTATAGTTGTTTGGTAAATAGGATTGCACCTATTTGCATATCTTATGTCGAAGTGAAATGAAAGTGTGTAGTAAAGTAAAAGACAGCCGGGAGTTGATTACCGAGCATGCGGTGTAGAACAAAACAATACAACAATTTTGTTACTATTGATATTTACTAAGATTACCTTAGTGTGACACAAAGCTAAATGTAGAAGTAACTGGAGAGTAACGAGTTTGTGTTGCGTGACGCCTCCATTTACAAAAGATACGGTTGACTCTTTTTGAAAATAAATGCCTGAATACTAGATTCGAATCAGCGGCTACTTCTGCCCATGTAAGAAACCCAACTATGTCAGCCATCAAAGAGAAATGAAAACGTTCGTATATAATTTATGAATACGATGGCTTGCAGATAATTAGTGTGATACGAGAAAATCGCTCGCAAATCTTTAGCACTATAGCTGAACATTTTCTCATACTTATGCTTCGGTATGTGTCGAGAACAGCTAAGTTGCATATCGTACATACCCGTGTATAGGGCGAGGTTTTTATGATCATTTTTTTTTTTACGCAAAAATAAGGGGCTCGCACTATACTCAGGCAATTTTTTTTTTGAAGAGGTTAAAAATCATGCATTTTCGCTGACCGGCGGAATTATACACGGGTACATTTTTTTTTCTGGAGGAATTACAATTCATGCATTTTCGGTGACAGTAACTTACCTGGTAGACCGACATTCTTACGGTACATTCGGCAACTCTTAACGGTATAGGTAAGCTACTTTGGCCTGTCTCTCGCTTCCTAGATTCTTTCTTTCTGTTGCTACATGAACAGCAGAACGTCATTTACTATGTGCGCCTGTTAAAATCAACAAATCTTATATATAAATTTGCAGTCTCTGTCTGTCTGTTTGTTATCGAACTCTCCTAGATTTTTGTAGATAGAGCCTAATACCGATATATATTCTGAAACTACATTACCCAGGGAATTTGGATAAGTATATTTCATTTTAATCAAAGTTAGCCACCACCCTCTACAATGAAAATTTTTTCACTTTGATATAATTTAATTCGGACATGTGTCTTCATTGCAATGTGACGGTAAGGAATACATACATACACAAGCTTACCGCACATTCCGGGGCGATGGTGGGTTGGTCAGATTTTGGGGTGTGCTTGGGTGATATAAGCCTTTAACATTCTCTTTTGTTTTAGCAATACTGTATAAAATTTCAGATAAAGTATATCTGTAAAAGGACAATATAAATAAAGACAAAAGGAAAACCTATCTTAGCCAACGCGTTTCGTCCTCTGAGCGACTTTATCAAGGCAAATGCGAAGATTTTATTTTGCAACAGGTATTTATATAGAAACCCCAAAATATTATTTGTTTCAAAGTTTTTTTAAATCTAAGAACGCTGATAAATATTTATCATGTTAGCAGAAAAGTCAAGCAAGGTATGGAGGACGCTAAGTGATACAATTCAATGTCTAATATACCTAATTTACTTACTTTCAGTTTTCTCACACACACACACACACACACACACACACACACACACACACACACACACAGTATCTGGATTAATAAAAACCACAAGGTGAATTTCATCTTAACATCGAGAAACTGATTAGAAAACTGGAAAGGTTCAGTATCAACATAAGTAGACACAATATGTCTATATTATTCAATGAAACATGTTTGAATTAAGGTATGCTGCCTAAATACACACACACGGGCACACACACACACACACACACACACACACGCACACACACACACACACACACATATATATATATATATATATATATATATATATATATAAATAAGGTACATTTCGGTATCAAGAATTCTCTCAAATATGTTTTGTTAAATAATAAGGAAAAGTTCATTTTATCAATTTTTTTTATTAAATCTTTCAAATTTCCGAATAAGTTGTTTTGTGTTATCGATAAATTTGACCAAATTCTTATTGACTTTTACTTTATATTAATTTTTTTCTCGAGTACTTTCGAAAGTTGCTACATTTTTTTTCAAGGATTGTTCTGTGTTGTTACGCAACTGGTTTTTATTTCCGGCTTTCTCCCATTTGATGGAATCAATTTAAAGGCACTCCCCGTGACGTCATATAAACGGTCAAACCTTGTGTGTGTGTGTGTGTCTCTGTTTGTGTGTCTGTTTCCATGTGTGTCTCTGTGTGTATATGTGTGCGTGTCTGTATATTTTAACTCACACTTCAATTTACCCCCCCCTATGGAGGAAGACACCTTATTTAATATTGGCTGCTTCTCTTTTATGATAACAGCCTCAGGAATTTGGTGTTTCTCGCCACTGTATAAAATTTTGGTTTTGTTGACTAAATTTTATCTAATGTTAATATTATTGTGTCCTTTTATATATATATATATATATTCATCTATATGTGCACGAATTGCACTAAACTTTGCCCCAAAATAATGACAAGTAAAATGACTAAAAATTACAAGTTAACCTACGTGAAAATGTGGAGGGTGTGTGGCCAAACGTAAATTTGAAAAATTTAATTACAGAAAATGACAGAACTTGCTGCCGAAATGCATCTTATGTAAATTATATATATATATATATATATATATATATATATATATATATATATATATATATATATATATATAAAGACAAAAGGAAAACTTTTCTTCAGCGACGCATTTCGTCCTCTGAAGGATTTTACCAAGGAAATATGTCTAAGTGAAGCTCAGCACGGGACAAAAATTATGAACCATAAAAAGTTTTCCTTTTATTCCCATTGTCTTTTTACAGATATTTCTTATTTATATCCGAATTTTGACACACACACACACACACACACACACACACACACACACACACACACACACACACACACACACACACACACACACACACAGACATACACAGGCACACATTTATGTATCTATATGCATGCGTGTGTGTGTGTATATAAAGAGGGAGACTGATAGATAGATAGATAGATAGATAGATAGAGAGAGAGAGAGAGAGAGAGAGAGAGAAAATGAGAGAAGAGACTTCAGGTATCAATTTTAGGACGCGCATTGACTTTCACCTGTCCACTCAACCGCGCCTGTAGAGAAACCAAGTTATGATTATTTGTTTTTACTTATATGAGAAAGAAAAAAAGAAAGAAGGAAAGAAAGTCAGAAAGAAAGAAAAAAAAAACGCTCACTTGCGTGTGTCAAATGCGACTGAACCGGCCTTTCTGTTGCTATCAGAGATCAATTCTAAGCCACCCGCCTCATAGCAGCAGCAGCAGCAGCAGCGACAATAAAAACATCAGCAGCAGCTGTTTAATTTTTTTTTTTTTTTAAGTAGCAGACGAAATGGTAGTTGGTTCAGTGGTAGTTGCAGCGGCAGGCATATTAATTATTCATGTTACAGCCCCGCTTCGCAGTTGGCTGTAACAAGACACATGTGGGACGGGACCGAACCGCTACTTCGTGCATCGCTTCTTACCTGCAGATTGACAGTATTACCCTCCCCCATTCATTCCTCGCCCCTGACATCTAACTACCATCCCGGGCTGTTCTCACTGCGTGGACAGACACGATATCCATAGGTGTATATCTACGTAGAAGGAAGCTACACGCGCAAATCGGTGCGTTTTGACACACACAACAACGCTTAGATGTTCACACATACAATTATAAAGAAATAAATAAAAAGCACTTATATTAAATAATCGATTAAAAATTCGATCCTACATAGAAATTCGTGACTCATTCTTATATTCTCTCTATATAGCGTACTTTGACTTTAGTACGAATGAACAACCGTACAAACATAGACACTCACAGTGAGCCTTTTTAAATGTTAACGCCTGTCAATCACAACTAATTCTAAATACTTTATATCACAAATAATTCGACTGATAGTTTTTAGCTGTTTTTTCTTCCATTTCTCCACTTTCTACTTTTCTTTTCTCTCTCTGTGATCACTATTTACGTCTTTCCTTTCCCAACATTTCTTTCTTTCTTTTTTTGTCTTTTCTCTTAATATATACGTATATACGCGTCAACTTTTATAAAGCCTATCTGGGGCTAAAATTCAGTTACGACTGAGTAGTGAATTTGATCCTTACTCGGTGCCCTATACTTTTGGCCTTGTGTCACACCTAAGCAACGCTTACAAAATATTTGCTTTCTTTCTACAATAGTGGTTTAAGAGAATTAACATTTAAGAGAATGGACGTCTTAAGCAAATGAACGTAAGGGAAAGCTATGTAGCGTTTTAAAAGCTGAAAGGAAATTGCTTTTGCGGTAATGACGAGGAAAAAAAGTTTAAAGAAAAGAGCAAATTAAATAATTAATTAAGATTTTAACATAAAATTATTTCAGTCCTGTTGTGTATTTATTTATTTATTTATTATATTAAAAACAAAGATAGTCACTTGGATCTTTTTTCTGTTCTTTAAGATCGCAAATAGACAAAAAAATAAATAAACTCGTTTATAATTAAAAAGGAATGAAATGGAGAAAGAAAAGAAAAAAGAAATCTGTAAAGTATAAAGAAAAAAACGTACAGTTACGGGAACTACTTGTTGCTGGACATTAAGAGTGAAGTATATCCAAGTGACACAACATTCTCAGAAAGCAATCAGAGACGTTAAGAAAAAAAGGACGCGCAAAATCCTGAAACTTTACAATTCACTCTCTCGCTGGCTTTTTGTCCTGCCCATTTATTCCCTTTCTCTCTCTCTCTCTCTCTCTCTCTCTCTCTCTTTCACTCGCACGCACGCACACACACACTTACACACACTGTTTAGACTGTTTCTCTTACCGAAGAGAAGTAAGTTCAACATTACTCCAGTGTTAGCATCATCGCCAACATGAACACGAGCCTCATTGACACCGACCCTGACACCGCAAAAAGGCGTCTGGCTTTTCAAAAATGCTACAGTTTAGAGGTAGGTCCAGTCATTTCATTAGTTTAACACATTCGTTAACCCTCGGTAACACTATTGGACCCCTATTTTTTAAATGACTATTTTGGTAGATCTTTTTCATTTCAGAGGAAAAAAAGCAACAAATCACACAACAACTTATTTCGATTAACCGCCTTACTTAAAACGATTACTTCACTACTTAAGCAAATGCAAAAACAGTAATAATATAAGTGACGGATGGCGATTAAAAAAAAGGCACAGTTGATTATTTAAGACTAATTTGTTTAGTAATGTACTGACTTGTTTGCTTTATATGGCAGAAATTGTAAGTGAAATGATGCTCTAAAATAAGTAAACAACTAATCGCTTTAAGTTCTCTGAATATGAGCGCAAAAAAGAAATTTAGTAAGATTTTCTTTTTTTGTTGTTTTGTTTAATTAAAAAATGCTTGTAAATAAACGTGACGTAACTGATAAAAACAGTACTACATAAGTTTGTCTTTTTCTTTCCTATTTTTCACGTTTATTCAGCAATTGCATATATATATATATATATATATATATATATATATATATATATATATATATATATATTATCGATGATTTGCTTAATTCTAACTCTTAAAAATGGTGCAACTTCTTAGAATTTTAATTTGAGCATTATATCATTTAGACAGTAAAAATTATTTTCATCAAGTTTAAGGCCCTTTTTATTCATACTATGCTATTTTTTTCTAGCGATCTCATGTATATATATATATATATATATATATATATATATATATATATATATATGTATGTATGTATGTATGTATGTATGTATAATGCCCAAATTAGAAATATTAAGAAGTTGCATCATTTTCTTAACAGTTAGAATTAAGCAAATCATCGATAATGCTCACATCCCGAACCGACTGTTGCTTGCTTAGAGCCTCCACCTTGTCGACATTCGAAAAGTTTATCCATAAGAATTTGTCTGCATATTTACCGGTAAAGAATGAATGTGCTCCGTGATCGAAATGGAAAAATCACGATTCTTTTACTTTTGTGCTTATTTTTTCTTCATTTTAAAAGTCATCACGATTAAATTCTTTTTCGATTTTTTTTTCTTCATTTTTACTTGACAGGTGGAATTCTTTTTCCTTTCTCTCGTCTGATTCTCTTTTGTTTTTCGCATTAAAAAAAAAAGTCTACAGATTCAAATAGGGCACTCGGTTCGGGGGTTTCCCCGTCTGTGCCTTGTCGGGAGAATTCGTTCCTATGAAAGAGTCGGCGAAATACTAAATATAACTTAGAAATGTGAAATCTCTCTCTCTCTCTCTCTCTCTCTCTCTCTCTCTCTCTCTCTATCTATCTATCTATCTATCTCTATCTATATATATATATATATATATATATATATATATATATATATATATATATATATATATATATATATAATCTAAATCTTAGTTTATGTATATTTGTCTCACTTTATTCATATCTATCTATCCCTGTTTGTTCATATCTATCTATCTATCTATCTATCTATCTATCTATCTATCTATCTATCTATCTATCTAATTATTCATATTTAGTTTATTCATATATATCTGGCTCAGTTAATTCCCTTCTCTCTCTCTCTCTCTCTCTCTCTCTCTATCTATCTATCTATCCATCTATCTATCTATGTATCTATTTTATATAACATATTTTTATAAGGTGCACAGATACTACACAAACTCCAGACAGAAATGCTCTAATCTTACCGATCCATGCATAAAATCCTTTTATTTTTGACGAGTACTGTGCAAGTTTATGAATAATACATTTTTTCGAGAGATTTCTGTTTATGGATTTTTCCTAAGATTAATTCAGTCTGATACAAGACCATAGGTATAGGGCACACGATGAGGATCAATGTCTTTTTAATATACGGAACCTTACTCCGCTGGGGAAGGCGCATAACGTTCGTCGACCACCGGTTAGCGCAAATTGGCTTCCGAAGTACACCTCAGCATGGGGTAAGGATTAGCGAGCTTATCTAGCAAAAATACTATGTTGATTATTTCATTATTGGGATTGTTACATTAGTGGCCTTTGTGTCAGACTTAGTTCAGTTTATAAAAGTTTGATAGAAAATTGCAATATATTTGCGAAATTAGGTCAGGTAATTCTTTAAAAAAATTATCTGCAAACGTTGGGTTTGCAAATATTTCTTTTCAAGAATTACATGAGCTAATTTCGCAAATATATATTCCAGATTTTCCATTTCTCTTCGGAATTTTTCACGAACTTTCCAGTCTTTTCGATATCCACCCACTAAAAAAAAATCAAAAAACTTGCTTTAAAATTTTTGCTTTCGTTAATTTTTACTTAAATCTGTCATTTTCATGTTATACTTTTTCAAAATATTTCCAAAATTCTTGTGTGTTTTGGTTTATTGCTTGATTGATTCGTTTTTACGGTTTATCACCCCTTTGAAGGTTATTTAGAACCCAAAAATATTTTTTTAGATTGTAAGAGTTTTTTAGATAATGATTAGTGATATAAGTCTTACTAATTAACCCATAGCTGGTGGGAGAAGAGGTGGATTGAAACCTTTCTAAATAGTATTTGTGTGTTAGTTAATATAACGAACACGACTTGAATTAGAACGCGGTTCGCAGATTAACAATTCCGTGCCATTATCCATTGCACCACCCGCACATCTAAGGTTACACATATTCCCAAGCAGTTACCCATGCGGGCAATGGCTAGGCTCGAATTTCTGTTTTTTTTTGTTTTTTTTTTTGTTTTTTTTTTTGTGTGTGTGTGTGTGTGGGGATACCATTTCGTTAGTGTCGAAAATTTAAAAAAAACATTCTTTATTTCAATTGAATCAAAGGCACATTCTAAAACAGGTATGGCCAGCCATTTTTTTTTTCTCGAGTAGTGGGCCTCATGGTTTCATCATAAGGCGGGTCGCGCTACTAAAAAAATCATAATGATTTTTGGTTAACAGATATTATATATTTTATATAAAACATTTGTCCATGCTTAGAATATTGCTACCACATATAGTCCGCTGCCCCTGCTACATTGAGCTCCTTGATAAAATCCAAAGCAGAATCAGCAATATTATTGGACCTGATCTGGCGTCTCGGCTCCAGTCACTTTCCCATCTCTGTGCGTTTTTATAAATACTTTCATGGTAATTGTTTGGATGAGCTCTTCGCTGTGGTGCCTAGTGTTTTTGAATTTAAGCTCAGTACTCGACTGGCGTCTAGATCTCATCAATTTACAGTTGCGCTGGCTAGGTGTAAATTCCATGCTAACAGTTTCTTCTCTCACACTTCTCGCTTGTGGAACTCCCCTTCGGTTTTATGCTTTTCAACCAACTTTAATCTGCACAGATTTAAATGCAATGTCAATCGCTATCTTCTGTCCTCCTGATTACTCTTTCCTCTTCCCGCTCATTATTAAAGTTTCTGTTCTTAATTCTTCGACATCTGGTAACCCCTTGTGTCTTAGTGGCTTTATTGCCTTGCATGGGGTGATACTGATTAAAAAAAAGAAAAAAAAAAGAAAGTGCTTCATTCATTTTTATTACAGAAGAAATGGGTAATGGTTGATTTTTTCTTTTTATGATTAAAATTAAATGTCTATAATACTATTACTGATGACAGCGTATAATTTGTTCCTGTTGTAACCTAGAAATGGTTATTGAATGAGGAATAACCAAAACGGAGATTGGAAATGAAATGGCAATCTTTATAACATCAACAAAATACAATACTCGCCAGCGGCGTGAAGTAGGTAAACCACTGCTATTGGTGAACCACTTAGACATCATATTATCCCCACTTACAATAGTGTCCAACGTATTTACGAGGATTGGGACATACCCATTAGTGTTCATAGGTACGGTATATAACAGTTACTAGTTTATTCATTTGACTATACCAAAAATATCTTCTTTTTTTTTAAATAAAATATTTCTTCTCCAGAGAAAAGAATTATGTTTCCTGTTTCTAAAGCAAAAAGATGTTTACACGTATGATCTTCCATAGCAAAAATAGCCAATGGTTTAAAATGCTTAAACGAAAGTTTACAGAATTCAAGAAACGTTGTACTTAATCATTGTTTATGTATGAGAGAGTGTGTGAGTGAACAAGTGAGAACGAAACGGAATAAAATTTTTTTTAATAAACTTTGTTTTCGTCATGATTAGGTGTGCTTTAGGTGTGCCGTTCAGTAAGCCATTCAGGATGAATGTGACTCACGGGCCATAGTTTGCCCATGACTTTTCTAAAACAAGACTAAGTTCATAGATCGCCTCATAATCAGAAATTCTCCACAGAGATCAGCGTATCCTTTTAGGACGTAAGCGAACTTGGTTCTCTACAGCATTCTGTTGTGATATCTCTAAGCAAGGTTTGTCCATTCAATTTCCCTGCCAGTCCCCGTTCTGCCATCAATTTACTCAAACTATGTCACTCTTGCCTTCAATATGCCACATAAGTGTTAAATTGTCCAAGCCTTCCTTTCTCATCGTTGTAACCAAAACAGTTTATGTTCCCATTTTAGATTCTTTTTTTTTTCATTTTAAAATATTTACTTCTCTAGTGAAAATCTGCCAACAGATTACCCAGTCTCACGCAATATCTATCTATCTATCTATCTATCTATCTATCTATCTATCTATCTATCTATCTATCTATCTATCTATCTATCTATCTATCTAAATCTGTTCATTATCTATCTATCTATCTATCTATCTATCTATCTATCTATCTATCTATCTATCTAAATCTGTTCATTATCTATCTATCTATCTATCTATCTATCTATCTATCTATCTATCTATCTAGTTTGGTTCACCTATCTATCTATCTATCTATCTATCTATCTATCTATCTATCTATCTAGTTTGGTTCACCTATCTATCTATCTATCTATCTATCTATCTATCTATCTATCTATCTAAATCTGTTCATTATCTATCTATCTATCTATCTATCTATCTAGTTTGGTTCACCTATCTATCTATCTATCTATCTATCTATCTATCTATCTATCTATCTATCTATCTATCTATCTATCTTGTATTACACTTTTACGGAGCGTACAATTATTATAGTAAGGCGAGTAACAATCATTCTCGTCAAGGCGCACTGATCCTACACTGATCCTACAGAGAAGTACCGATTCATGCAAAAAGATTCCCATTTTTGACAGGTACATATTTCTCAATCTGTCTCTATCTAGCGAGCTGTTTGGTCTATATAGTTCTGTCTGCTATTAAACTCAGCAACCCCCACCCTTGTTAAAGTGAGTTCAGTTCCATTAAAACAAGGCATTCATCCACTCTGCTATTATAACAAGGATTAACAAGTTGCTTCGTGAATTTGGTAGCATAGTAATTTTGAGTTCAATCCCAGGGAAGTGTAGTACAGATCCAGTGACACTCAAACTCATTACAGTAGTAAATATTCATGAGACTGTTTTTTTTTAAAATTATTTCTTTCGAAAGAAGCAATTCTTCTTATTTAGCTTAGAACTGTCCTAAGTATAGGAATATAGTGAGGTTCAAACACACAAGAGTAGAAAAATAGGAAAGACTAGCTTGTTTTGCTGAACGCACCCCTATAAATATTCACTGAGCTTAATTTGGTTCAGGGCCACAAGTGTAGAGCACCCAGTTCGGATCAATCTCTCATTTGTGATTGGTTTTTAAGATCATTTTGCTAAGCACTAGTTTACACTTATATTTTATTTATACAGATTATGGGTTCGCCTATCGCCCGGTTTACACTCCTCCCCAGTCTTTTGAACAAGAGTAGAGGTTTATCCCTTGTTTCCTTTTTAGGGTTGAGTTTCCGTTCCCTTCTAAAGTCTCCTTATTTTCTTTCACCCCCAGTAACTGCCTTGTGTCTTAGTGACATTATCGCCTTCATCCAAAAAATATATCCCTGTAGATATTTAACTTAGTCTGACACAAGGTCAAAAATTTGGAAGCACCTCAACTCAATGCATCCGTAACGTTCTCTTATCGAAATCCCGCGCCCCTGAAATTTATTAAACTTAGTATCGTACAATGAAAGGATACTAGTTTTCGCTTTGGTTCGTTTTGTTGATCTAACATGTTTACTGTTGAGTTATTTTCTATACGGTGCCCAATGAGGATCGAACTCACTACTTTGTAGTAATGATCAAAACAAATTAGCTTCCCTAAGCCTTAATCCCTGCCAAGCCATCTCCGTTTTTTTTTAAATAATATTTCACCCAAAACAAGGCTCAAGAGCCACTTGAAGGCGGAGGGTTATTGAATGAGGTTGTCGTAGGATCGTAAAAATGGGGAAATAAGTGTAAATTATGAGGATAGGTAGGTTAGATAATGATTAAGAGTGGATTATTTGTGGAAGCATCCTATCAAGATTTTTTACCACAAAGTATGAAGCAATGAAAAGAGTACTGAATTGTTATGCAATATCAATCCTCCTATATGGCAGTGAATGCTGGACAATTTTCTCACAGATGAAAAGGAGACTTGAGGTTACAGAGATGTGGTTCTATAGAAGGATGCTGAGAATACAAAGAAAAGAGTTCTTAACTTCTATGTAATATCAATCCTCCTATATGGCAGTGAATGCTGGACAATCTCCTCACAGATGAAGAAGAGACTTGGGACTACAGAGATGTGGTTCTATAGAAGGATGCTGAGAATACAAAGAAAAGAGTGCTTAACTGCTATGTAATATCAATCCTATATGGCAGTGAATGCTGGACAATCTCCTCACAGATGAAGAGGAGAGTTGAGACTACAGAGATGTGGTTCTATAGAAGGATGCTGAGAATACAAAGAAAAGAGTGCTTAACTGCTATGTAATATCAATCCTCCTCTATGGCAGTGAATGCTGGACAATTTCCTCACAGATGGAGACTTGAGGCTACAGAGATGTGGTTCTATAGAAGGATGCTGAGAATACAAAGAAAAGAGTGCTTAACTGCTATGTAATATCAATCCTCCTATATGGCAGTGAATGCTGGACAATTTCCTCACAGATGAAGAGGAGACTTGAGGCTACAGAGATGTGGTTCTATAGAAGGATGCTGAGAATACAAAGAAAAGAGTGCTTAACTGCTATGTAATATCAATCCTCCTCTATGGCAGTGAATGCTGGACAATTTCCTCACAGATGAAGAGGAGACTTGAGGCTACAGAGATGTGGTTCTATAGAAGGATGCTGAGAATACAAAGAAAAGAGTGCTTAACTGCTATGTAATATCAATCCTCCTATATGGCAGTGAATGCTGGACAATTTCCTCACAGATGAAGAGGAGACTTGAGGCTTCAGAGATGTGGTTCTATAGAAGGATGCTGAGAATACAAAGAAAAAGAGTGCTTAACTGCTATGTAATATCAATCCTCCTATATGGCAGTGAATGCTGGACAATTTCCTCACAGATGAAGAAGAGACTTGAGGCTACAGAGATGTGGTTCTATAGAAGGATGCTGAGAATACAAAGAAAAGAGTGCTTAACTGCTATGTAATATCAATCCTCCTATATGGCAGTGAATGCTGGACAATTTCCTCACAGATGAAGAAGAGACTTGAGGCTTCAGAGATGTGGTTCTATAGAAGGATGCTGAGAATACAAAGAAAAGAGTGCTTAACTGCTATGTAATATCAATCCTCCTATATGGCAGTGAATGCTGGACAATTTCCTCACAGATGAAGAAGAGAGACTTGAGGCTACAGAGATGTGGTTCTATAGAAGGATGCTGAGAATACAAAGAAAAGAGTGCTTAACTGCTATGTAATATCAATCCTCCTATATGGCAGTGAATGCTGGACAATTTCCTCACAGATGAAGAAGAGACTTGAGGCTTCAGAGATGTGGTTCTATAGAAGGATGCTGAGAATACAAAGAAAAGAGTGCTTAACTGCTATGTAATATCAATCCTCCTATATGGCAGTGAATGCTGGACAATTTCCTCACAGATGAAGAAGAGACTTGAGGCTACAGAGATGTGGTTCTATAGAAGGATGCTGAGAATACAAAGAAAAGAGTGCTTAACTGCTATGTAATATCAATCCTCCTATATGGCAGTGAATGCTGGACAATCTCCTCACAGATGAAGAGGAGACGAGGCAACGGAGATGTGGTTCTACAGAAGGATGCTGAGAATACAAAGAAAAGGGTGCTTAACTGTTATGTAATGATATTGTAATGACATGCACCTTGCGGAGTGTTACACACTTTTTTGTAAGAAAATGATGACTGATTGTTATAATTTGTGAAGAAAAATGATACATTTTAATATGACTCAATGATCATGGCGTTGTGACGTCCATCCTTCTAGATTTTGGATAGGAGTCATTACTTTGTTTAAATTTAAATTTGATTTAAATCAAAGGAAATAAAAAATCAGTGGTGGGGTTTATGCTCCTGGGGACCCCTTCGATCAAAATGAAATATACTTATCCTATAAGTCATTCCATTGTTCAAATTTAGATTTAATTTAAATCAAAGGGAATAAAAAATCAGTGTGGAGGGGGTGTTCTCCCCACCCCCGGGGACCCAACTTTGATCAAAATTAAATATACATATCCAAGTACACTGGGTAATATAATTTCAGAATATATATTGCTTTGGGGATCTATCTCCAAAACCCTACGATGACTTCGATAACAAGCAAATAGACAGGCAGCCGCTACAACTTTATATATATAGATTATTGTGGTTATTGAAAAGTTCTCGACCTGACTACGAAAATCTGACCCATTGATTAAATATTGGAAACACCAGTTCGTTTATTTGTTTTTTTTTTAAATTTTTTTTGTTTTATTTATTTCTTGGTGAGTTTGAGAACTTTTCAGTACCCCTTGTATATTTTCAGGTCTTTTATTCTTTCTCATATATTAAAAAGAAACCAGCTTGTTCTTTTACGTTCTTTCTTTCTTTCTTTCTTTCTTTCTTGTCACTTGCCTTTTGTTTCTTTTTCCTTTTTTTCTTTCTTTCGCATATTGTCACTTAATTCTTTCTCGCTGTATCTTCCACTTAAAGTCTTTTTCTCTTTGTCAGTCGTTCCCCCACTCCTCTCTTCCCTATCTATCTATCTATCTATCTATCTATCTATCTATCTATCTATCTATCTATCTATCTATCTAACCATTTTGGGATTTAATTAACTCAATTCCAATTTTTATTATTTTTCTTACTATCTGGGATTTTACTAACTGCAATATATATATATTTTTATTAACAAATTAGTCATATATTATTACATTTCCCTATTTAGTAAAATGTTACATTTTGTATTTCTCAGCATAAAAAGTCAATATGAAAGCAGACGATCCATTGGATAAAATAATTCTGTGGGCGCGTACGCTACTGTGGAGTCTGACAGTGTATAATTTAGTGCCATCTACTTAGTGTGGGCGTGCATTTTGTGGCCGACTCTTTTGGCTTTAGCTGAATGCTTCTCTTTGTAAAATCAGAAGAAAATGATTGATTTAAGGAGGGACAAATCGTAAGCTGAGAGAAAAAAAAAACAAAAAACGTGATAGTGGCAGGTGACGTAAAACGAATAATTAAGATAGGGGAATCGATTGGCAGACGACTCTATCATCGACAGATAAACGAGGCAAGCAGATAGATAATAATAATAATAATAATAATAATAATAATAATAATAATAATAATAATAATAATAAAAAATGTGACAGTCGTGTCAATCGATATAACAGTAATAGGAACAACCACGAAAAGCTTTGGGAGAAATCTAAAGAAAGTTAAAATTAGGCGAAGAATCAGAAAATGGCAACATTGAAAACACCTGAAATGTAAAGCGTACCAGAGTATTAACGGATCTTGCTGTCACTTAATTCCAAATGTAAACCACTTGTTACTATTGATGTGAATATTGACTGAATTATTATTATTATTAATAATAATAATAATAATAATAATAATATAACATTCCCAATGGTTCCAGGGTATTAGCACGTAAGTGAATGTAATGGATACGAATTTAAAGTCGAATCCATTACATTCCCTTACGCACTAAGACCCTTGGGAAAGGTATGAATCCTCTTTTTCCCACCCCAGCTATGGGTAAATAGCAAGACAGACCGTGTTCTATAGCCTTGGATGGCAACTGCTCTACCGCAGAAAGACATGGTACAGTGGAGTAATGGATAGCGGCTGAGATTGAGGAATCGGAGATCCGAGTTTGAATTCCAATCGAATCCATTACATTCCCTTACGCACTAATACTCTTGGAATTATGAATTCTTCTCCCTATGGGTAAATAGCAGGATAGACCGAGTTCTATAGCTTTGGATAGCAACTGGTCTACCGCAGAAAGAAATGGCAATCTACTGTGGGAAAAAAATCTGTCTCGTCAGTCATGTATCAAAAGATGCATGATCGCTTAAGCGTGTATCACGCATGGCACATAACTGACTGCATGGTTCCAGGCGTGGAATTTTGTGAGACACCTTGAGAGGCAGAAAGACGCCTTGGGTATAACTGACATCATTGCGAGTGTGTAGACAGCAGCACCGCTTGGAACAGCACGAGCTGAAGAAAGTGTCCTGTTTATTTAAGAGCTACAGGTAGGAGCTGAGATATGACCATCATCCCGCTGTCGAAACATCCAAGAGTCAGGCAGAATCTCAAATGTCTTGATAATAATAATAATAATAATAGTAATCATAATAAGAATAGTAATATTAACAACAAGCTCAAGAAATACACCTACTTCCGGACAACATTGCCAGAATGTGGGACACTCAGACCCCTATTGGTCCACTTATCACTGGGTTGTTGGGGTCTATATCACTGAAGTCCTACATTGAGAAAATCAGTATAAAGCCTTGTAGCACATCGCTTCAGAAGTCCGCGTTGCTTGGCACGGCAATTATTGGGTTGGTGCATAATTATCAGGCGTTTTTGTAGGCGAGTTATTTCTTAATAAAAGTTGCTGTTTTGCTTCCTTTTTTAATAAAAAAATATTATTTTATTTTCAGGTTATAAAAATGCGTGACGATAATCATACTCATTTCAAAAATGTTATTGTTGAATTGTTATGTTTCTTTTTTCATAATATATATTGTTTTAAAAACTCCAGATAATTATGCATCAACCCAATATTTCGTAAACATTTTATCTGTCTGAGGACGTACGACTTGATGGGGAACACCCATAATATCAGATCTCCTGTTTAAAACGAAAATCCGCGTGGAAGAAGAGAATAGAGAATAATAATAATAATAATAATAATAATAATAATAATAATAATGATGATAATAATGCAGTTACAGAAGCGATGACAAGATAAACCGCTTCATGGCCAATACTCTGCCCGTACCAAACAAGCTGACGTAGACAAAACCCGTACCCATCAGTGGCTACGTAGTGCAGGGTTGAAAGCAGAAACTGAAGGTTTTATCCTTGCTGCGCAGGACCAATGCTTGCTAACTAGGAATTATCAAGCACATATATTAAAATATTGTGTCAGCCCAAAATGCAGATTCTGTGATAAATATCCAGAAACGATTGATCATCTTGTATCAGGTTGCACGATATTGGCACCCACTGAATATAAAACCCGACATGACAGAGTGGGCCAATATCTGCACTGGAAAATCTGCAGCTTCTACAGGAAGGAAACTGAAAGAAACTGGTATGAACACCAACCAGACCCGGTTACGGAGATAGGACCTGTTACAATTCTATGGGACAACACAATACACACTGACAGAACAATCAAGGCCAACCGCCCAGATATTGTTATTAAAGACCACAAACAAAAACGATGCCTCCTTATTGATATGGCAGTCCCTGCTGACTGCAATGTATCTTTGAAGATATTCAAAAAAATTGTCAAAGTACAAGGACCTTGAAATAGAAATCTCGAAAATGTGGCATATGGGAACATCAACAATCCTGTTGTAGTTGGAGCCCCTAGGACTGGTTGGAAAAAGATTGCAGTAGACTAATTGAAGGGATTCCTGGAAGTCCATGCCTCAAGGAGATACAAAAATTGTTCTGACAAGTACAACCCACACCTTACGAAGGGCTTTATCTATGTAATTTTTTTTTCTGTCAGTGGAAAGTGTCATGACGCCATTTCTAACCTTAGGCGGGACCCGGAAAGAAATGTGCAAACGCCAGAAATCAAAGAAATAATAATAATAATAATAATAATAATAATAATAATAATAATAATAATACCACTTCCAGATTAGTGCGATTTCAAGAAAAGAAGAATGAAAGAAAATGTTTATGAATGCTTAACAGTATTTCGTTCGGCAGTTTTTTTTAAGTATTTCACCCCAAGCAAAAACAGTAAAGCCACTAAGACACTAGGGGTTACTGAAAATGAAAGAATAAGAGAAGAGAAACATTATTAAGGATTGAGAATAATAAAAGAAGAGGAATCAAGAAGACAGTAGATAACGATTGACATTGCATTTAAACTTTTGAAGATTAAAACAATCAATCCTAGATCTTGTCGAGCTTCGGAACTCTGTCCTTTTGGCAAATCTGATTGCACTAGAGTATTTATTGATATCTCGTTCCCATCATCTTTTAGCGAGACCCCCTCCCATTCATAAGACCTCTTTCCGTTTCCAGCATGCTGATTGGGATTCACTTCGTGACTTTCTTCGATTCACCACTTGGACTGATATTGTTCACCTTCCTGTTGAGAATTGTACCAGTGAGGTCTCTTCTTGGGTTAAAGCCGGAGTTAATGTTTTTGTTCCTTCTCGAAAATACCAGGTGAAACCTCAGTTTTCTCCATGGTTCACGCCAGCCTGTTCTGCCGCGATAGACCACAATAATCCCTTTTTTCCGGCTATTCTAACGTGATAGTTCCCGTCAACAGACGTCTATTCGTGGATGCATGTAATACATATAAACGTGTCCTCGAAGGCGCAAAGTTTTCGTTTGCTAAGAGAATGAGGTACCGTATTGCATCTAACAATTTCGGCTGTTGGGATTACTAGCGGCTATATAATAATATATTAAATAAACGTAAGGTTTCTATTTCTCCATTTTTCACCCAATTTAAGGTGTTTAAGATCTGCTGATAAAACTGAATGTTTCGCCCGTAAACTCTCTTTAAACTGAAACTCTGGACTCACCTGGAGAAACCTTGTCTGACTTTCCGCTTAAAACTGTCTCTGATGCGTGATATGCATATAGCTCCTTCCATAGTTTCTGCTATCATCACAAGTCTGGATCCCCACAAATGTGGACCTGATGGTATCCTTGTAATTGTCTTTAAGAAATTTCCTTCCGAACTTATCCCTGTTCTCTCTAAAATGTATAATAAATGCTTCGTTGCTTCTTGTTTGTTGAAAATCCTCATCCTAAAGAAGCCCGACCCTTCCAACTATAGGCCTAGTAAACTTCTCCCTCTTTTAGTAAGCTAGTAGAGACCCTAATCAACGCTGAATTAGTTAGGCATCTCATATCGCAGGCCTTTTTTTCAGACAAGCAATATGGCTTTCGCTTTTCTAGGTCAACAGCTGGTATATTAACGATTATTTTGGAAAGTGTCTATTATCAAGCTTTAGATTACAATAGTGAAACTTGGGCTGTTGCTTTGTATATCTCGAAAGCGCTCGACAGGGTTTGGTATATCGGTCTTCTTCACAAGTTATGGCGTCTGCGGACTAATTTTGGAACTGATTCAGTTTTTCTGATCAAATCATGGATTGAAACTTATCCTGAACAGGCAAACTGCTAGATAACTTTGTGTCCCCCCAGGGATCTATACTGGGTTCTACTTTGTTCTTAATTTTCATTAACGACCTCCCCGATGGCAACAGCTTTCAACTTGCTATTTATGCTGATGACACAACCATTTAGTTCTGTATCGTTTGATCTGTTCCATGAGGTCAAATTGTCGGCTGATCTCAAAAATTACCTACAGTCTGTTGTTAACTGGGGTAAAAAATGGCTTATTAATTTTAACGCTCCCAAAAACAAAACTGTTCCCATTAATCATCTGAGACCCTGTTCTGTTTTCCATCAATATGGCTGATGCTAACCTTCAGGCTAATGACTTCTTGTGCTTTCTCTGGCTAACATTCTCTGCATACATAAAGTAAAAAGACTATATTGAATTCATTGGTAGGTCTTCTACTAAGAAAATTGGTTCACTCTGACGGACTCG